AAATACCGGCCAATTGGATCGAGATCAAGAAAAACTAAAAAATGAATGCTTGCAGTATTGGAAGATTCCGGATGTCACCAAAAAAAAGCCCTATGAAACAAATGAATCATTATTTGCATCTATCAGTCGGCTTGTCAAGGTTCGATTGGAACGATCTTATTAATCTTTCACTTGGAAGATGTTATTGAAGAAAATGTCTTAACACATAAATATACGAAAGTGCATAGGAAACTAACATATCCAACATTATCAGACAGGCAGTAGTAATTTTCAAAATTACAAAATTTTAGATTATCGATTTTAAAGAGTTGCAACAAAAACCACCTCCATTCACGAAAAATGTTTTGTCGTCCGGATTAAGTCGAATGCGATATGCCGAATTACGAATGTGCGCCATCACAGAAAAGGAGGTTCCAGTTCTGTTGATCTCTATCGTGAGTCGTTTCTTTACTTAGAATCACTTAATCCTGTTTACTTGCTTTTTTGAATTAATCGATTGAATACAAGTAGAAATATATTAGCGACTGAGACATCTGTTACCATGAGGTTATATTTCCGCTTAAAGTATGCACAATACTCAGAAAAAAGTCTCAAAGTATTCATAAACTTAAATATAGTAAGAAGCGTTTACATTCAAGGTATTTGTAAATTGCCAGTATTTAAAGAATTGTAGCAAAACATATCAACTCTATACATTGGTTCTGTCATTAATGAGATTGTCGATTATCTCTCAGGGGATATGTATTTCTGCTCAAAATTAATTGGTCGTAACGGTCCGAAATGAAAGCTTAAATTTTTAGTGGGGTCACTTTCATTTAGAAGATATATCTATTTATTTTCCGATGATAAACTGATACCACTATGATTCTCATTGATTTTTTAACTAATGAAAATTATAGGGTATAATTTCCCCTACAAATTGAATAGATTTCATAACAGAAGAGCAGAAAATTGTTTAAAACTGTTGCGGCTCTATCTTTTCAGCAAATGGGCACTTATTTTTATTCGTCGTATTCTCAACAGGGCTTCGAAAGAGTTCCCTTCGATGTTAATATACCAAAAGATACGGTGTTGCTTGTACAAATTACTAAAGCCTACAAAAGGGTTAAGTTTTTCTCCTAAATTTGTTCATTCATCTGTCAAAAAGGCTACGCTTAAAAACTACTTAGATTTTTTTAGCGTAATTCTTAAGATAGTTTTTTCTTTTACTTTATCCATTTATTCTGTGAGAGTTATCATCCAAAATATGAAGATTCGTGAGTAGGACAAGTGTTTTAAAAAGTTTAAGAAGTTGAAACGTCTGTTCAGGCTGTCCGGGATATATTCTTCTTGTAAAGAATAATTTACATTTTATGCTATCAAATCGCTAGCAACATATTTTGAGTCTATCCCTTTACATCAAGTTGTATACCGTTTCATTACAGTTAGATGACAAAGGGAAATTAGAAGGTGAGCGAGCGGCAATTCGAATTCTTGATGCAGCATTGTTAAATGGTGATGATGTTTCTGCTCTTCCTTTCGATGAAAGAATGGCAGCAGCCCAAAAGATGTGTAAAGCTATTAAATTTACGTACGATGTAGCTGATAGAAAACTTGCACCGGTTTTTCTTGCAAAAGTAAGTTTGCTGAATTGTTATTACTAGTAAGAATTGGGTTTGTTTCAAAAAAATTGGGTTGTTGTTATGTCGATAAATCATATCCAGCGGAGTACTTGAGATGGCTCATTAGTTAACATTTATCGTTGCAGCAAAAGGAATGGGTTAGTTCTCTTCAAGTATATCCATGAACAAAAAGTGGCACTTTTTGTTGCATGCATTGAAGAAAATGATTTTTCGTAATTAGCTGACAATTGTCTTGGTGCAGATTAGAGTATTATTCAAAACCAGGGAGTTTGAAAAACTCAAATGTCCAAGTAGGTACCATTAGAGAAATATCTTTTATTATACAATTTTCTGAATTGTTTGGAGTTTTTTTCTAGGTGTTCATGCTTGATGAACTTCATTCTGAGATGCAGCGATTCCATGTAATCCTTGCAAAAGGTGAAGAAGTTGCAGTGATTGAAGAGGGCGATGAAATATTGTCTTTTTTCTATTGTCGTGGAATGCGAATCACTTCGCTTTTGATTAGTTGGTTTTTTCTTAAGTTTGTGGTTATAAAGAATGTGATTTTCACGGAATTAAGCTGCTAGCTTAACTGTTTATTCATAGTTCAGCAGTCCGCAAATTAAAACCGAAGCATACTCTCCCAACATAAATTGTTATTTGGTAAAGGAAATATGATTAGTTGGGATTGTTTTAATTTTGAGTACATTATAATAATAAGCTGAAATTAAATAATACTTTAGTTCTGCATCGATTTTCATCTTCTATTACCTCATTTAGATCCATGGATTATGTGTTGGTCTAAAAGTCATGGAAAAATGTATGCATTCAATCCGACTTTACAGGGATCGTCGGTTTTTAGCGAACAGTTCGAGAAAGCGCAATGTTGTGTAAATTTCTGGAAGGCTGTTATTGCAAAAAAACAGTATCTTTTTTAGTTTCTTTAAAGAATACATTGATAAGCAGTTGGAGAAAAACAAATATGTCGCGGTAGCTTAGACGAAGTTAATGGCTATGCACACTAAGAGTATTCAAAAATTTGAGGCGTTGTGCTATCATTACTTTGTAATGGGCATATCCTGTTATTGTGAGTAGAAACCTTGATAATGATTATTTGCAATGAGTTTCATGATTTAACTGTTTAAGTTCATCGAATAGTACTGATGCGTCAAAAAATGACTGCTATCAGTGGTTCTGGGAATGGACACAGAGCTTCATAGTTGGTGAAGATTATGGCCCAAGAGCAGTACTGGAAGCAGAAGAGCATCCAGGAGGACTCACACTACGGTCTGTACATACCATCATTCAACAACAGAAGGACAGTGTTTGTCATAAGCATTCACTATAATTTATTTTCCTTCACTTTTTAAATGGGATACATCTTCAAAATATGATTCTATTGGGGCAACTTTTGAGACACTGTAATCCAGGGATTTTATAAGTGTTTCTGTTTTTTAAAATATCGGAGATGTGTTTTCTATTTCTCTTTTAGAATATCTGCGATAAAATCATAAATTTTTATCATGTAATAGTAATACAGCTCAAATTCATGGTCATTACCACCCAATTTTAATGTGATAGATATTGAGGCATTGTTATCGATTTAATAGGAAGATTTAATAAAGACACATCGATTTAATATTAGGGCACTTTGATTAGTTCTTTTTAAGAATTCGTCGTGATTTACCTTTCATACTCTCCATGAAGGTTAGCTCGAACCATACTTTGTGTCTTTTGCGTGGTTCATTATAAATGGTGTACAAATGGATCTACCTGTTCCTGTGTTTTCTAGTGTGCATTAGCTGGTGCTGACATAATCACTTATTGGATGATGTAAAGAGTTAATTTTTTTCATATAGCTTTAATTATACTTTAAACTGCTTCGAAATTTTCAATTACCTTTTGAAGATTTCATGAAGTTTACTCTTATTGTTAGTAATTTGTTAATTGCTTCGAGACTCATTTTATGGGAAGAAATAAAATACACTGGAGTAGGAATAATTCATATATCTCAACTCATTTCGCATTTCTTCCATGCTGTTAAGAACTTATGTAAAAAAATCTGCCCTCAAATTGTTTCTTTCTCCTCTGAAAGATATCTTTTATTTTGATGTTCCGATTTGTCTTTCTATTTCTATCGAGAAGTTTTCACAAAACTATTCTTTGCAAAGAAATTGTTGAAATTAATTCCAATAACATTCTTTTGATTTGTGCTCGAATCCCATGTTTCCTTATTCAAAGACTATACGTACTAATCCAAGTCTTATGAGGTGCCTGGAACCGTGACAGTATTGCACTAAAACATTCTGCGGGGTGTTATACTACCAGTGTTCTCTTTGCCTTGGAGCTGAATTATATTTCCTGAAGTTCCTTGCGAGGCGATGCGGTTAACTGGGATAGTTAGCAAATCCGACTATTTGTTGAAAGACATTCATAAAAAACATGACGTCACAATGCTGGCAATGGTCCTAGATTGGTTTGGCTTCATGTGTGAAAACTCTTATAACTAGCACTTTGATGCCAGAATAGTAGTTTAGTCGGAGATCCCCAAATTTTTGAGTTGAGAATTGAAACAAGGATTGTCCATTTTTCTCCCCCCCCCCCACTCCCGACTTATTAGCAATGTTGATTGTTCTCAGCAAAAACGAACTTTATTTCATATGTCTTATTAGCAAAAAAGAATAAACGATCCCATCAAACACACAACCGAGAACTTTCTCGAAACTGAATTATCTGGAAAGCTATTTTGAAACATATGGTTGGGCAACTAGAATAAGAAACCTGACGAGAATTCCAAAGCATTCCAGAGACTTCTCGGATTTAAGAATACGAGGAGTGGTGAGAAAGAGATCACCGTAAATCTGCATATACTGTATAATTGTAGTAAATAGATAATCAGGTAATAAAAGAAACTCAAAAACACAAAAAACGATTGAAAGCGAAAACGTAAAATCAAATGACTGTTGCTATAAACTCTGCAGCTGGGAAGTACGATGCAGTTTGTTACAACTGATCGGAAGGGAACGACCTCCTACGGCTGAAACGGATGCACATCGCAAGCTCAAAAGAAATAACTTCCACAACAATTTCTTTGAACTACGAAGCACATTGTTTTTGGGATACCATCAATAGCAACTGTAAAACAAACAAAACAACTGAAAAACACACACAAATGGAACTCTAATACGCGTTTTAATGTGGAAAGAACGGTTTTGTTCTGACGGTAACCAGTGTGATGAATTTACGAAAAAAACAACCAACAAAACTTAGTGCATAACAACTAGTCAGAACAGAAAAAAAATGCACATAAACGACAAAATTGAAAAAATTCCTTTACTTTAGATCCACTAAAATTCCGAGGTTGATCCTTTAACAGCCACATCAACTCTAACGCATGTCTCAACCGCTTCCGTTTACTGCCTGACCTGGATGGCCTCTGCCTAAAATGAAAACATATTAGCAAAATTTAAAATCACATACAAAACCATTTTCCACAATCTAGATTCACGTTAACCAAGCCAGGAAATCATGCTGACTGCAAGAACACAATTCACAACAAAACTCGGCGTTTACAAATAAACTCTAGTGTGCACTCGTGACCTTTCACTATTCCTAAGCACTAAAATCTTTTGAAATCCTTCCAAACAATCAGCATAATCCTAAACTTTGGAGCTGCAACACATGAATATTACTTGACAAAATCCCTGTTTGAGATTAGTTCTAATTCTTAACCACCTTGGTGACATCAAATTTCGTTCTAACTTTTATAGTATTAACTCGATCTGGAACAAAACATAACGTCTAGAATATACGCTAAGTGCATTAAATCAACCTCCACGGCGTGGACCACCACGAACACGACCAGGGGGAACACGACGAGCTTCTCGTTCTACGTTTTCTTCCTTTTCGCCTCCTTTCTCATCATCCACTGCACGACGCCGATCATCTTGATCTCCACCACCTTTAATTAAAACAAAGTAATTGAGAATGAGTTATTGAAACTAAAGTTTTCAAAGAAAATATACCACTATGAAGTCAAAATTGATAAAATGTACCCCTATTTTGACGAAAGCCGCCACGAAAAGAACCGCCACGTCCACGTCCTCTGTAAGGTGCACCCCGTCCACCTCCAAAATTTCCTCCTTCGTGACCAGCGCGTTCAAAGCGATAGCTAAAAAAATGATGCTAAGTAAATAACAACAAGTTCATCTGAAGCCATAAAAATATATAAAAAATATGCTTTTCATGGATAAGAAATCATAAAAAGCAAATATCTGATTTGTTGCTGACATTAACCAGCCTTCTTCCTACCTTCTTTACCATCCAATATCACATTTACATGTAAAAATTTTCCAATGCGACACTCCTGATTTGAAAACTGATGTTACAATTCTAACCCACGTAATAAACCCACGAAAAAGTAATAACCAATTTGGAGCATTTAAACATGTTTGTAAAATTTGAGATAAAAATGTACAAAATTTTATTCTCAAATTAGTTAAAGCTGCAATTTAAATTTTCAGCTGTGTTTCATCAAATTCTCAATTACCCATTGCCATTCATTCCAGCGGGAGGAGGAGTTGACCTGGAATAGAGCTGCCGCTGCATCTCATCCACATTCAACCGCATTTCCTCCATTTCTTTCAAATGGCGCAAATGATACTCAATAAGCAGATTTGCCATAGAAATTGAGTCTTTCGTACCCGTAAAAACAAATGGCACTGGTTCATCAGCCTAAATAAAAACATTAAGTTAAAGTGGCAAGCATAAATAAGTTCGGACAAATTTCAAAATCCGTTTGAAAGAAAGAAAAACGCTAAAAGTGATCGTACATTCTCATCAACTCGGCTTTGACCATCACCGCCTTCGATCTGCACACGTACAACGCCTGATTTATCCACGATGTCCTGAAGAATCGATGCTACATAGTCAAGTATTTAATAAAATCCTTACTCACATACTATTGCATTATAGTCCAAAAATAGTTTGCATGCAGATCTAAATTTATAATTACCTGAATCGTTTTACCCGACTTGCCGATCACTTTGCCAACCATCCCACGAGGTACATCGAACGATTCTACTGCATATTCTAGCTGTGAACGAGCTGCAGCTGCAGCCTCAGCATTTTGGGCAAATACCTAGAAATTATTGCGAGCAGAGTTTGTCGAAATTTTTCTTAATAACAAATTACACCCTCAGCTTTTTTCCTGAATCAAGTATCACAAACATGATAGCCTGTTTATACAGTGCTATGAACGGCTGTAATTCACGAACCGCTTAACAAATAAGTCGTCGCTAACCTTGAAAAGTACAGGTGTGTGACCATCATTGCTCTCCACGAGCTGTATATCTTCAACGCCCTCAATGTTCCGTGCGCTCTGAATATTGGCTCCGTGTGACCCTATCGCAAGACCCATCAAGTCGAACGGTACCGTAAATTCTTCTACATGAGCCGATGTATACATCGAAGTGTTTTCTAATAAACGGGCAGCTTCCTGAATGGTATTTATGTATCACGATTAAATCAGTCCTTTTTTGTTTCTCCTATTAATAGAAAAATGAGGTCCGTCAATGCGTCTTCGACGACTTCCAGGGATAAGTCTGTTTCAATTCTATCTTACGAGCAATATTAGTTGTCTTTCATCTGTGCTTATAGATGGTTTACGAATCGTTGAGGTTACTTATCAAACACCCCAACTTCTCTCAATCTCAGCAACAAATCGTTCATAATGGCTGTTATGTATAAACATTTTGTACAAACTATCTCGAAAAAAGACCTCCTGACGCTGCAGAAGTTGCATCTTTTGTCGAGAATCCTTGAAATACATATCAGAAAGAATCGTCGCGCGTTTTACTGCTTGTTCTTCAAATGTCTGAAACTTTGGAGCTAAGCTCACGACAACAATTTTTACAATTCCCATAGTAATAATACTCGTTTGTTTCACAAGCCCACTGATTGCTTACTAATTGGATCCCATCGGTTAGCATAGTATTGTGCTTATTGAACATGGCTTTGCTATGGATAACGTTGAAATAAATTTGTCACTACTGCCCATATATCATAAATGTCAAAATAATATGGCGTTATTGCAACAGTCAAAAAGCAACTAACAGAGAGAAGGAGATTCCCATTCTCTTCATCGTACTCGACAAAAACACTTTTTACGGTCGCTGCGAAATCAGCATATGACTCGGGTCGTTTGAAATATACCCGGAGATCTTCAGGTACACTGATTTTTGCATGTTTGAATTGACTTTGTTTCAGTGGGGTACATTTGACCAACAACGTACGTATATGCTCCAGTGATACAATATCCATACGGTGTGGCCCTTCAACGCTTTCGATTGCTGCTAAATCTCCCTACAAATTTACGGGTATACTTAAGTCATCAAAGAGGAGGAAAAGCAAATAGGTTATATGAGAAAGTCTACCTATTAAAGCCCTCTAGAATTTCGTTAGCAAGCAGAACTTTTATGGAAACCTTGAAAAATTAATAATTCATTCCGATAGCATTTCAGGCAAAATAAAATCTCTACCCTCAATTCCTTGATTTTGGCCTTCTGCCAACCGAAGATTGCATCACCCTCTTGCTTCATCAACGCTTCGACAGTATCGCCCACCTTCAATGCTTCGGCTTTTGCAGAACGCGGCGGCAAGCGACAATCATCGAATTTTACCTAAATTCGTTCATTAGAAAAGAAATTTTCATTAATTCAATCTCCCTTCGCAACCGCAAATATCATTTCTAAAACTTGGGAAATAATCAATCATTAAAAGAATTCATGAATGTATAAAATTTCAAAGATATAAAAAGTGACGAAACAGACCTCATCGGTTTTAGCGTCGTTTCCATAGCTCACTATGATAGTGTCTGTCTTTATGGACTTTACGAAGGCCTAAAAAAAATGATTGCAAATTTCGAAACAATTATTTAAATTACTATTGAAGTTATATGTAAGAATACTGAATACCATTATCTAATAAACGATTAGGTAGACATTTTCCTCTATCATCATACCCATCTGACTAATCATCATGGAAACTAAATTACATCAAGTGCTGATAGAGAAAGAGAAACTTCTGTAAAGTATGACAATAAAAAGCTTTAAAAAGATGACATAAAATTGATACAGAAAGAAATAGCAAAAGGGCACGAATGACTTTAAAGTCAAAATGGCAAACGGAAAGTGAGAAACTGTAAGCACCTACCAATGAACATTAAAAAGTATGAGAAAAGGAAAAGAGTTGCTCATTATCTGATCAGTATCTGTCCACAAATATAATTCGTCCATCTTACTACTGCCAACTTTTATAGCTAACCACGTGGTAAACTTTACACAAAATATAGTCTCATCTATTCTGTCTAAAGAAGAGCAAATGATAGAATAATTTATGAATAACTTTCGAAAATGCCTCAATATTTATGCTATCAAAGTGACCATTTCTTAAGCCACCGATACAAATCATTCCACAGCAGCATGTGCCAATAAGCCAATATGCTAACCTTATAATACAAGCCGCTGCTTTGTCGTACTTCAATTTCCATCGTTAATTTAAACCAACGGATTGATCCCTACTATTATCACGCACTCTCTCTTTTTCAATCTGTTTGATTGATCAATCGATATCGATCAATATCTATCGATTTGTGTATTAAGTGGTATATCCTCCACCGGTTATTTTTTCCAAATCCGACAAGTCCAAATCCGGTAGAATAGCAAAAAACGAGCCGAAGCTCAACGACAACCCAACCGCTCTCTGCCTGCTCTGCTCGCAGCAAATGCTCTGCCCCCTCACATTCTACATACACGACTCACAAATACGAACACAGACATATAGAGTAACATGCAGAACATAAACATGCATCCATGTGCAGACACAAAGAGATGCGCGTAGACGTGTCGATAAAGAGGTAGAAGAAGACACGCAGACAGAAATGTACTGCATTCTCCATCGTTACAGCATTCAATCGATTAAGTTACGAGCCAACGAGCGACATCGTTTGACAACAGCCGCCGCTACATCACTATTGCAGGTCGGGTTGAGTGAATAGTGGGTGTGAGGGTGGGTTGTCCGAGTGCCTTGGCTCGCAGATGGCATGGGTCAGGAGATACTAGTGCTAAAGTCACTGGCTGTTAGCAGGGGTCAGAAGATAGTAATGCTAAAGTCATTGGCTTTTATAGATTTATTCAACTTCAAAACCACATGTTGCTATTATGATGTCTTTTTTTAATTAGTAAAATCATAGAGAGGGTCATCTTTATGGTTGATTTATTTAATATCGCCAGGGTGACGTGCCTTCACTAGCAACAGTTTGAAGTCGACTTTTTTATTTAGTGTTGTAGAATGTTAATTCCTAAGAGTCAGTAGTATGCACGAAATAAAGAGTTACTTAAAAAATGTGGTATATGTTGGTTGCGTAAAGCTTGAGTTACGATTTGAATAGATAATTAAGTATTGATGATGAAATATGGTGATTTAAGATTTGTCGTCTCGATGGATTTAGCGGAATCATCTACCTCTATTTCGAAGCCTTTATCGAAAGATTCCCTCAAAGAGAAATTCAAGATGTTACACCAAAAACGTGTGAGTTGAAAGTGATATTTTAGCACAATGTCACTCTAAGCTTCATTCAGTAGTGACCAGCTGTTAATGTAAAACGTAAAGATATAGGTTCAGAGAAAAAACTGAAAAACCAGAACTGAAGTTCCTCAAATTTTATCTTTTAATTTTAAAAGCAGCAAGAATGTTTTCAACAAACTGAGTCAGAGTTTCACTTTTTTTTTAGCAAGAGTCTCGTAAATTAAACTACAAACAAGTGGTAGAAGAGGATCGTAGATTGAAGTTGCCAAAGAATTATGATTTAAAACGAAAACAACAGGAATGGGAGCTGAAGCAAATGGAATTGAAAAAGGTTAATTGTCTCTGCCAAGGGCAAATGTTAACAATGATTATATTGTTATATTAATGAGTTGCAATGGGACGAAACTATAGAATTAAATGAAATTGAACAGTGCAAAGTATACTGATTGCTAGTTTCTTGTTATTCGTTTCGCATGTGAAATTTACCCTAATAATGTGAGAGTTTCTTTTTTAAGGTCTCTATTCAGTTATAATTTATGGTGAAGTCAATTTATGTGTTACGCTATCAGTAATGTCTCGTGGACATTCTTTTGTCAGTTAGATTTTTACTTCAGGCTGCTGAAGAGCGGGGAGAAGATTATGATAGGTTACAAGCTTTGAAAACACAAGCAGACATGGTCGAGCGTAAAGAGATGGCCAAAAGAAGAAAGAAGCCCGACAGGGGCTTTAGTGGTTGGTTTTCTTTCTGAACTAGGAAAATTGTAGGTACTGCAGAGTTTTAGTGAATGTTTCAACAACCGTTAACTAAGTAGTATCTGCAAGAGAATTCTTGAACAATGATTCTGGTAGCATTTATAGTACCTAAAATTGATAGACTTTTGTCTACTGATTTGATTGTTGTGGCTAATTTCAAAATTGCTGAATTGGATATTTCAGATTACGAGGCAATGACTTTACGTCAGTATCAGAGACTCTCTGGAAATATTAAACCTGATATAAAAGCATATGGAAAAATGAGAGAAATCATGTAAGTATTTTTCCATATTAATGTTTTGAATAAATCATATGCTACTTCTTGATTAAAGATCTCACACGGATCATTACTGGAAGATGAAGGGATGGTTGATTCTAGTTGCAAAAATTAGTTTGTTTTCAAATTAATTTAGGTAACGTTTTATAATAATGAAGCCATTCATTTTCCAATTCAAAAACAAAGCGTTAAAACATTCAGTGGTGCTGACGAATTCTATCCTGGAGTGGATACGCTTATTTCTGGAACTTACTATCCAACAGACGCTGCCTTAAATAAACTAGCAGAAGATATCAAAGCACAGTAAGTGGATTTTTCCTGACTAGTTTTTTAGATTTTGATCTTAATCGGTCGATTATTTTGGTCTTTACTTTGGAGTTGTTATATTTGCTCCACAAATATATGATAATGGAGTTCTAGAGTCTGTAGTTATACAATAAAATTTGACCTATCATTTCTATTAATTGATGATGCAATCTTGTTTCTTGCCGTGATCGCACTTGCTGTTGTTTAATTGGAATTTGTTCTTCAGAGAAAAGAAGCGTGACCAATACCATCGTCGGCGAATGTTCGATCCGGATGCACCAATCGACTATATCAATGAACGGAACCGCAAGTTCAATCAAAAGTTGGATCGTTTTTACGATAAGTATACCGAAGATCTTAAAAGCGATCTTGAAAGAGGGACTGCTATATGATTAGGATGTATCGCTGGTGCGATTTTCAGATTGAAGCATTATATATCACTAGCGATCAAATTTGATGTATCGGGTTTGTAGAGATTATATTTCTAGTATTTGTTTATTGCTAACAAGGTAACTTCTTCCTGCATGTTCATTCAAGTGATGTGAATGATATAATTCTACGGAGATATTGTTGTGATTTGTTTTTGTTATTTTGTAAGATCGAAATCCCAAAATACAAATTACTGTTTATTGCGAATGAATCCAATTAATTGTCGTTTCTTGTGCAGAAACAGAATTGGTTTTGGACGCAGAGTAAAATGTAAATATGTGGTCGTTTTTTAATTTTTTCTTTGCATTATGATTATAACTCAGCAATAGCCCTTTACATCATTTTTGCAAAATATCAATTATAATTGAGTTATGAAATGCAAATAGAGCTTAGAGCTGGGTATGGCAACGATTAATGAAATGAAAAGAACTGTGAGGAGAAAAGTTGTATGTCATCGACCCCAATGTATAAACACATCATTTTTTAGAAATAAAATGCTAAATTTGTAATAAGTATTACAAAAACTCTACGATTTGTTTTGTTAGAAGTAGTTTTGACGGAAATGCTTGCGAAGCGTTGAATTAGGATTAAGTTATAAGAAGTGGAAAATGTAACAAGATTTCTAAGCTTGGGGCACTAATAACTTTAAATTATGTTTGTTGTAACCAAATGAGGGGATTTATCGAAAGCAACTAATATCCCACGAAAATCTTCACTTGTTCTCATTGGCGAAATCGTCGCGTTTAAAAAGTTTCACGTTAAATAAATTTACTAATCTTCGCAATTATTAGATGATAAAGTGTTCGACAAGTCTTCATAGGCCGAAGTAATGCACGAATCCACGTTACAGTAGTTTTTGTTGCCATACTTGTTCTCTCTTTCTTTTATCTAATAAATTTACATAAATTAATGCTCATAGATGCTCAAATTATTGAAATGATTAGCC